AAGAAATTCACCAAGCCGTCTTACAGCTCACATGGTGCAATACATCATTTCATGAAATAGCTGACGACGAAATAACACCCCGACTACCCTTCCATAAGGAGCGCATGGCTGAAATGAACACACCTGGCCTGATATAGATCCCATATTCACATTTAAATCCACCCACAGACCTCAAGCTGATTCTGATCGCACTGAACTAAGCTAATAATCTTTCAATGGTCCATAATAACTCCCCTTTTCTCATAACACACAAGAACAACCATCATAACCGGAGTAATCCTCCACAGTCAACAACCCAATAAATCGAGTGCCCTCCAGGCTTCAATTCTCAATTTAACGACATCACTACAATATTCATACTTGGCTTAACTCTTCAATCAATCAAGTTAATACATGCCACACTTATACAACCTTCTCGTGGTCACACTCCCACAACCTTCTGTAACTAATGACAGGTCTGTACATCCAAACCACAGGCCGCACTAATGTTGAAAAGCGATCAAGAATCCTTAACCAGGATGCAAAGCCTTTTTCACAAAACACCGATCTCAGGTGACGCTGAAGACAATACCAACTTACTTCAAACATCGAAACTCCTTTACTGCTCATCCGAGCTCGTGACATCCTTGTCAACACCGAACTGCAACCTTGATCCTCACTTCAAATTCCATACCACTCACTGCACCCAACATGCCAATATACGATAAAATACGATTTTCATCATAACTTCGGAGCCACTAATAGATTAACACTTCATCATATAAAACTTTTCGCTTAACTCACTTCGCGAGAACCATATCAACACACTCGTGAATTCTCATAACTGTAGAATATGCAAATCTCTAAATAGTGGTCTAAGCCACCATAGCCCTTCCGGGATCCGCCTACACATAACAGGCCATAACAGTAGAATACTTCTGAATAACATCAATTATGGTGGCCGACCGGCCTCACACGTACCATCACAAATCACTTGCATAACTTGGTCCCGCTGCAGGAACTGATCACTACCACCAATATGCCAATTCAACTATGGCTAATCAATCTATCTTCTTCCAATTTATCCTTGATTGCCTTAGAAATAATAATAACTCCATTCAACACATAAAACACCCCATCCGCACTCATCCCGAGTGACCTTGAATCACAAGACCACGATGTCTCCAATCCCACGAACCATTTTATATTTCCCAAATGCTACACCGCAAGTCAAAACATCATAGATTATTCTAGGCCTCTTCTCATAAGCTGCTACAAAAGCGTGATTCTTAATCGTACATATACGCTTGAAATCATTAGGCACCAAACTTTACCCCTTTGAATCCACTAGGACCGTTGTTGAGAGCCACCCGCTCTGACTTGGCCCCGAATATAATCAACTCGATGAATCTTCTAGCACATGAATACCCTCTCGATGAAGCATCCGGCAAAAGCACTTCCCTTGGAACCCGCATATACACAAGGCATAAATCTTGAATCCTTCCCCAAGTCTGAACATGAGCCAATAAGGCCAACCATAGCACACCTTTAACAATCCCTTTGCTCAAATTACTACTTATGTTCTTTTCCCGTAGCAACCTATCAATATGCTACTAACCAGAAACCTCACAAGTAGTTAACCATGCAACCCTATCATAGGCGGTGGGACTCTCCCACTTAGCTTGAAACCACCATTATACAACTCTGGAATTCACCAGGATTCCTTATCTCTTATCGACATAACCTTGCGCAATCAATCGCCAAAATTCTCGGAATCTTTCTGTAAACCCCCTTTTTATACTTTGAGTCATCAACCACATTCGCACGCCCGATCTCTTTGTTGTATAACCAATAGAATTTCTTTGCAGAAGCTTCGCCAACCATGTGACCGCCGAGCTGCTCACTGGAGATAACCCATCTATAGAATTTATGTGCCGACATCTTCCAAGGCTACTGCACGGGGTACAATCACTATGACATCAATAACCTATCCTGAGTCCAAGCTCACTCTCTAGCTGCACAAGCCCATTCACCCCTCGTGGACATCAATTAAATGTGTGGCAACATCCTTCCAATTCAAAGTTACGTTGTATCCTTCTTCATTTCAAGTAGCTCCTTTCCATTATATCAAATCTCCTGCCGTATAATAGCTCATACTTCAAATTAGATCCGTAGACCCCAATCATCAATCACTAAAATTCCCAAGTCGTTCCAAACTCTCCTTAAGGTGCGTATTTATCCTAACACAAAGCCCATATGCAACTTTTCCACTTTCCCACTTTGGCGGAACTCGCCCCTTTAATCGATTACTCGATCTTTGCTTCTTATACCTGACCTTCTAGAAATTTTAACCATCACCTGACACTCCCCACATGTCCTTCCTCATCCTTTGCTGCTCAGTTGTTGCCTTAAAATCTATCTTCATAGCACTTGAACCCACAAATCGCTACTAACTTTAAACCTTTTCGGAGATCATCTTCTCAAGTCATCGACATTAGAAACACCGATTCAATCTTGAAACATCGCACCTCGCGATATCCAACCGTCGTTTCTCCAATATTATTTCACAATATCCTACCTCAAGGGCGAATTGCAGAAGACCATAACACCGGCGAACTCAACATATTCAATCGAGGACGACGATACCACGTCACAGATGAAAGTTCCACCACACTCGAAAATACCAAGTCTCGTTACTTCCTCCACCCAAATCTGGACATTCATAGGCTAATTGCTTTTCCTCCGCCAGAAATAAAATATCATATCTCTGAATCGTGCATTGAGCAGACTTCCTTTCAAATCATTCACCGCCCCAATACAAGGCAAGTACCCTACCGTCAAGTCAATACGGTGCGATAACTAATCATGAGCATCATAGCAACCTGTGCATAGCGTCTAAGCTCTTAAAAGCACAACTATCGAGCCGAAACGATAGAAAAATCCTTTCACAAGGTAATGACAATAGCCCAATCAGCTATACTGGGAGAAACATCTCGCACCACGTTCGTAGTACCATTACAATTCCTCAATTCTCGATTTATAATAAGCGCTTCACGTCGCATAAGATTGAGTAGGAAAGAAACAAAAGCATAAGCCTCAAGGAATCAAATCGCACGATGAGGAATCAATAAGGGATGTGCCCCTAACAGTCTTGTAGCCTCTCGAAGATAAGTACAGACGTCTTCTACCGATCCGCAAGACTCTACTAGACTCGCTCATGACTCGTGAGACCTAAGGGAACCTAGTGCTATGATACCATGTTGTCATGACCCAAATTCCACTAAGGGTCGTGATGGCGCCGGACACCACTGTCAGGCAAGCTAGCCAAAATACTTAATTAAATTTTCGTTTTAATAATTTTGAAAACCATGATTTTCCTTCAATTTCACTAGTAAAAGATTATCATTTCAAATCAAATACAAATGTTAAGAAGTTAATACAAGATATCACATAATCGTCCCAGAACTCGGTGTCACAAGTGCATGAGCATTTACTAGGGAGTGAAATAAAATCAGTAAATGTCCGGAATACAAGGTGGACAGAAATGAAAACACCGTAAAATACTCTGAAGGGGACTCTGCTGGCTGCGGGTCGTCTCGATAAATGCAGCTCACCTAAGTCTCCGTATCAACCATGGCGCTATGCCACTAAGCCACTAGCCACATATGAACCTGTGCAACAAAAATGCATAGCAAGTGTAGTATGAGTACGAAAACAATGTGTACCCAATGTGTATCCTGTCTAATCTCGAAGAAGTAGAGACACGAGATCGACTTCGACACTTACTAGTGGTCCAATGATAATATAGTAAAAATGTGAGGAGATCGGGGAATTTTATTAAAACAATAATTATAATTCATCAAGCCAGATAGCAGGTAAACAACTTCCCAAATAATAATGGATTTCCAAAGATTAACTTTTCATTATCTTTATCAATTTATCTCCGGACAGGAAAGGCAAATGTAAACATTTATAAATCTCAAGCAATAATACAAACATGCGCATATCATGCCGAGGTCGTACGACCCGATCTAACATAAATGTAAAATGTGCACTCCCGAGGGTCGAACGGCGTGAACCATAGATGCATCTATTACCCCGCTCGCGAATCATCCATGAGACGCGGTCAACATAAAATAAGCAAACACCTTGCTCGCGAACCATACATGCGATGCAAGTACACATAGAATCACATATTCAAACAGCTAATCAAGACTTCATCAGGGAACAACTATCCAAGGAATATCCAATTCTCTTTTTACAATTCAAGAAAATGAAGCTCAATCTTTTAGAAATTCACTTACTAATCCGATATGATTTAAGCAATTCAAACCGTCAATAGGACTACAAATATTTCCAAGTACAACATGTTTTTGGGTCCTAAACTACCCGGACAATAGCATAATAGTTGCTACGTACGGACTCTCGTCACCTAGTGCATACGTAGCACATAACCAATTAACTCACCTATGGGGACAATTCCCTCTTACAAGGTTAGAAAGGAGACTCACCTCGCTCCGAAGCCTATATTCCGATTCAAGAACACGCTCAAACCTCCAATTTGGAGCCGAACAATCTAAAACTATTCAAATAGGGCAAGAACTAGTCAATACATGCTCAAAAGTTCATATTCTAATTATTAAACCAATTTCCCAACCCTAAATGCAAGGTTCCTAAAATACATCCCCGGACCCACGTGCCCGAATTCCGGAAATTTTTGAAGAAAATTGTTACCCATAACCTAAGGATCAAGAATATATGACTTTTACTCCATTCCCTAACAAATTTCGTGGTTAAATCTTATTTTTACCAAATTCTAGGTTTTTCATCTAAATCCCTCGATTTTCCCTAATTTTCACATGTTAATCTATCCATAATCCATGTATTTAACTTATGATGTGTAGAAATTACTTACCTCTTTGATGATGATGGAACCCCTCCTCAAATGCCCTCAAAAATCGCCTAAGACCAAGTGGAAATAAGGGAAATAGGCTAAGTCTTGGAATAAAAAGTCATTGCACCAGACGCAGAAGTCGCATTTGCGACTCCCAGCTTGCAATTGTGATGGTCGCATTTGCAACAAAGGCATCGCAAATACGATGCCAGCTTTCCCTGCCATGGTCGCATTTGCGACAAAATTCTTCGCAAATGCGAAGAGGACAACATCGTAAAAGTGATGGCCCCCTCGCAAATGCAATCTCCCCTCAGCAGCTCCCCAGGTTCGCAAATGCGAGCTCCCTCTCGCAAATGCGTTGTCACATTTGCGACCCAAACACCGCAAATGCGGTCATACCAGTACCTGCAGCATCAAACCTTCTCCAAATTCCATTTTTGATCCGTTAACCATCCGGAATCCACCTGAGGCCCCCGGGACCCCGTCCAATCACGCAAACCAGTCCCATAACTTAACACGAACCTTCTTGAGGCCTCAAATCACATCAAACAACATCGAAATCATGAATCGCACTCCAATTCAAGCTTAATGAACTCTAAAATTTTAAACTTCTACTTTCGGTGTTTAAACCTACCAAATCACATCTGATTGACCTCAAATTTTGCACACAAGTCATATTTTCCATTACAGACCTACTCCAACTTCTGGAATCGGAATCCGACCCCGATATCAAAAAGTCCACTTCCGGTCAAACTTCTCAAAAACCTTCAAATTTCCATCTTTAACCAAATGACTCCAAAATGACCTACGGACCTCCGAATTCACTTCCGATCACGCTCCCAATACCGGAATCACCAAACGGAGCTATTACGAGACTCAGAATCTCAAACGGACATTGATAACCCTGAAATGCACTTTAATCCAAACTTATGAGATTCTTCCAAAAATGCTGACTTCCACAATAAGCACCAAAACGTTCTCTGGTCTTCCAAAACGGTCTGGACATACGCCCAAGTCCAAAATCATCATACGAACCTACTGGAACCTTCGAATCCCAATTCCGAGGTCGTTTACTCAAAAATCCAACCTTAGTCAATTCTTTCAACTTAAAGCTTCAGAAATGAGAATTCTCTTTCCAAATCAACTTTGAACTTCCCGGAATTCAATTCCGTCCATGCGCACATGTCATAATACCTGAAGTGAAGCTGCTCGTGGCCTCAAACTACTGAACGACGCGCTAGAGCTCAAAACGACCGGTCGGGTCGTTACAGAGCCGTTATGAGTTTGTAACAGAATGAGCAAGATTTCTGCCACGTCTCCAAGATCATGGCGTAAATTCCGGAATAGATTTGTACGAATTGTTACTAATCCGTACTAGGCGGTTAGACAGTTGTCCCAATAAGATTCCTTATCGTAAATAGAAATGTATCTTATTTAGGGTTCCCCTATTATATAGTGGGGACCTCAATCATTTGTAACCACGATGAATGATTGACAAGAATATACTCTCTTACTTTCTTGCTCATATTCCATCAGAATTGTCCTTTAACTTTATTGTTCTTGTTTTATTGTTCTTGGCCTGCCTCGAGACCACCTTAGCTCGAGGTCGAGAGTGGCTTGCATACTGGTTTGATTTTACTTCCTTCTTTTATTTATTCATCAGGTTTCTTAGTTATTAATTAGTATTGAATTAAGTCACGTATCTTTAAAATCACAAACAAATTTAATTGTTATTCGTATTTTTAGTATAGAACATAGCCACTACCTATGACGAATGCGAACAATATACAAGACAAGACACCTTTATAATAGATGTTTCATTATCTTATCATCAAAAAAATTTCTCTCACCAAATATTAAAAATAAACTGCCAAACACCAAATATATA